ATCGGAAGACCTAAGTAATACAAGGAACAGACCCTTCGAGCTCGGCAACTTGTACCACTGATCACAGTTGGGATTGACTGCTGTTGATGTCCCTTTCTGTATATAAAAAAGTTGGGTATGACACGTTCTTGGCTTCTTTTAATTATATTTTTTATTTTGGAAAACAGTCGTAATCTAAAGAAGATACAGAAAAGAAAAAGCGATTATACATCGTAATTATATATAGCCAAAAAATATGATTATAGCAAGAAATAAAGAAATATTTCTCCCCGACACCCCCTTCGTTACATTGAAGAGTTTTTGGGACACTGTCTATAAAATGCAATAAAAATTATATCTGCTGGGGTACATTTATATTTAACATTTTACATTTCAGATTCCGTAACTAATCTTTTTCCCAGCTGAATTATTAGTTTCACCGTTCCTGCATACTCAGTACTGCATATTTTCGCCTTAACTTCCGTTGCGATTTCTTTTCGCAAATAGGTAATATAACAAAAATACAGAAGGGAGAATAATTATATGTCATATAATAGAAAATATCTCTCCCCTAAACCCACTTCATTACATAATTTTTTAAAGAAAACAACTGTCTGTGGAATTCAGCAAAAGTTCAGGACAGACAAAAGCAACTTCTGCTTCATGTAGAGAGTGATCCGAATGTGGAATTCGCTGCCAGAGGATGTAGTGATGGCCACAGGAATATCCAGGATGTCGGAGCGACGCTCTGCTATTTGGACAAGAAACGGTAGAAGCCAAATTTACCACAGAGGTTTTGCCCAAATACTAGAGTGCCACCCCAACATTCTGGGCGTGAAGACATCACTTCCGGGTCACGTGGGCAGTGATGTAGACACATCGTTGTATGTCAGCTGGGTCTCCCTGCTGCTCCGGGTAAGTCCCCCCATTCCCCGCTGGTTGCCAGAAGGGACCTTGCAACCCTAATGGAAAACTATGTCTGGGGCAGTGATGCTCCATATGGTTGGTGCTTGTGGGGGCAAGAGTGGGAGGGCTTCTGGAGTTCTGGCCCCACTGGTGGACCTCCTGATGGTGCTTCTGTTCTGGCCACTGTGTGACACAGAATGTTGGACTGGGTGGGCCACTGGCCTGATCCAACATGGCTTCTCTCATGTTCTAATGTCTGGGGCATTTTAAAAGGGGTTAGATCAAGACAAGTCGCCGTGTTTGTCTGTAGCAGCAGAAAAGAGCAGGAGTCCAGTCGCCCCTTAAAGACTAACAAAACTTGTGGCAGGAGATGAGCTTTTGTGAGTCATGGCTCCCTTCCTCAAATACTCTGAAGGAGAGAGCAGTGGTTCACTGGAGTTCTGGCCCCAATGCTGGACCTCCTGAGGGGACCTGGGGGGTTTTTGTCAGTGTGGCACAGAATGTTGGACTGGGTGGGCCACTGGCCTGATCCAACATGGCTTCTCTCATGTTCTAATGTCTGGGGCAGTGATGCTCTGTATTCTTGGTGTTTGGAAGGCAACAGTGGGAGGGCTTCTGGAGTTCTGGCCCCAATGCTGGACCTCCTGAGGGCACCTGGGGTTTTGGTCACTGTGGCACAGAATGTTGGACTGGGTGGGCCACTGGCCTGATCCAACATGGCTTCTCTCATGTTCTAATGTCTGGGGCAGTGATGCTCTGTATTCTTGGTGTTTGGAAGGCAACAGTGGGAGGGCTTCTGGAGTTCTGGCCCCAATGCTGGACCTCCTGAGGGCACCTGGGGTTTTGGTCACTGTGTGGCACAGAATGTTGGACTGGATGGGCCACTGGCCTGATCCAGCATGGCTTCTCTTATGTTCCAATGTCTGGGGCAATGATGCTCTGTCTTCTTGGTGCTTGGGGGGGGGCAACAGTGGGAGGGCTTCTGGAGTTCTGGCCCCGCTGGTGGACCTCCTGAGGGCACCTGGGTTTTGGCCACTGTGTGACACAGAGTGTTGGACTGGATGGGCCATTGGCCTGATCCAACATGGTTCTTCTTAAGTTCTTATGACTGGCCTGAGGTCATTCAGCAAGCTCCCATTGCCAGAGTAGGGATTTGAACCGAAGTCTCCGAGTTCCTCGTCCAACACGCTAACCATTGCGCCACACTGCCTCTGTTTGCATTGGTGTGTCCTCCCTGCTCCAACACAAGATTCCCGGCGCTGCTGGGCTTTAAACCAACCCATAGTTTGAAATCATTTGTGCAGTTAAAGGATTAATGTTCTTTCCCCCCTCCCTGGGCAAAATTTCCTAGATTTAATCTTAAGATTCTTGCGTTAACAGCCTTGGGTAGCAGATGGAGGTATTTTGGAAGGACTGGTAAACGAAAGGGGAGTTTCCCACAGCAAGAGTCCAGTTCTGCAGCTGGAACGCTATCCCGGCCACATCCTGTTGCTTAGAGATGTTTTCCTCCACTGCAGAGGAGACTTGGCGTTCCCGTAAAAGAGAACCTTTCCTCCGCCTGCCTTCCATTTGAGCGAGGTGCTTGCAAGAGAAGGCAGAGGAAGGAAATGCCACATGCCATTCTCCGCCTGTACTTTCTGCTCTGCCTCGCCTCCGCTTTCTAGCGGGACTTTTATGGGCAAACTTTCCAGCAAGAAGCGGTGTGCTGATGAAGACTGTGTGTGTAAGTCTGTTGTTTTTTTTAATCTCATTATGGCCTGGATCCCTCTGATAAAGCTTGGATCCCTTTGAGGGATCTGGCGACACACTGCAACTTAGGTAAAGGTCTCCCTTGCTCGAAAGCCAGTCGAGTCCGACTCTAGGGTTGCGGTGCTCATCTCCGTTTCAAAGCCGAAGAGCCAGCGCTGTCCGAAGACGTTTCCGTGGTCATGTGGCCAACATGACTAAGCACCGAGGCGCACGGAACGCTGTCACCTTCCCACCGAAGTGGTACCTATTTATCTACTTGCAATTTCTTGCTTTCGAACTGCTAGGTTGGCAGGAACACTGCAACTGACCTCATGCCAAAATGAACCGTTTTTTAAAAAGGAATTATATTGGTCGCCAAAATCTCTGGTGCTCTGTACTTTAGCAAGAGTTGAGTGGTGAAGAAGACGTAGGGATGCCAGGTCTGGGTTGGAAAATACCTGGAGACTTTGGGGGTGGAGCCAGAAGAGGGCGGGGTTTGAGGAGGGGAGGGGCTTCAGTAGGGTCCAATGCCATACAGTCCACCTTTCAAAGCAGCCATTTTCTCCAGGGGAGCTGATCTCTACCAGCTGGAGGTCACTTGTAAAAGCGGGAGATCCCCAGGCCCCATCTGGAGGCTGGCAACTCGAAGAAGAAGAAGAAGATAATGATATTGGATTTATACCCCGCCCTTCAAGTCTCAGAACAGCTCACAATCTCCTTTCCCTTCCCCTCCCCACAGCAGACACCCTGTGAGGCAGGTGGGGCTGAGAGAGCTCTCTCGAGGACTGAACAGCTCTGAGAGAACTTGTGACTGACCCAAGGTTACACCAGCAGCTGCATGAGGAGGAGGGGGGAATCAAACCGGGTTCTTCCAGATTAGAGTCCACGCTCCTAACCACCACATCAAACTGGCTGAGAAAGCTCAGTATTCTATTTATTGCTTACAGAAGGCCAGGGGCCGGCAACCTTTTGGGATTCTGAAACAGGCTACCGTCGCTTACCTTCGGTCACACAGTGAAAGATCCTTGCACTGTGGCGGCAGCTGCGGCCAGTGTGATGTTTTTAAAAATCTGCCCAGCCAATCAAATCTCCAGAACCCCTTGCTTGGCAAAAGCCTCATCGAACCCTGCCCCCTTTCTGAAAGCACTTGGTGGGCACCGGTTTGGTGTCGTGGTCAGGAGTTCATCTGGCCTTATGTCTTGAATTTGAAATCATCCCACTCTCCAAGATACAAGGACGGATGGACTCACATTTGATTCCCCACTCCTCCACAGGCAGCTGCCGGTGTGACCTTGGGTCAGTCAAAAGTTCTCCCAGAGCTGCTCTCTCAAGTTGTTGTTCAGTCGCACAGTCGAGTCCGACTCTTCGCGACCCCATGGACAAGATCTCGCCAAGCCCTCCTGTTTTCTGCTGTCCTCTGAAGTTTGCTCAACTTCATGTTGGTTGCATCTAGGACACTGTCTAACCATCTCATCCTTTGCCGTCCCCGTCTTCTTTGACCTTCAATCTCTACTTTTTATCATGCTGTTTAGGTTCACCATCACTTTCCTCCCAAGGGCAGTCCTCAAAAGAGCTCTTTCAGCCCCACCGACCTCACAGGGTGTCTGTTGTGGGGAGGGGAAGGAAAGGAGATTGTAAGCCACTCTGAGACTCCTTCGGGTAGTGAAGGGTGGGGTATAAACCCAATCTCTTCTCCTTCTTCTCTCTTCTCACCAGGAAGCGTGCCAACAGGGGCTATCGTGCCCACAGACACCACGATGGGGACCCCTGCTGCATGAGGCGTCACGGTATTTCCCAAGATGGACAAGGACATCCATCCCTGACCCTGCCCTGTCCGCATCCTTTTAAAAACCCACCTGTCTCACTTTCTACTCCACAGATGCCCTTTCTCTTGCAAGAGCCGAAGACGATTACAATGCACCAGACTGCCGGTTCATCAATATCCGAAAGGGGCAACTGATCTACGTTTATTCAAAACTGGTGAAAGAGAAGAAAGCAGGAGAATTCTGGTCTGGAAGTGTAAGATCTCCTGTATACAAACAGAAATCCTCTCTCTGCTTGGCTATGAGCTTTCATGGGCTAGCGGCCTTTTCCAACATGGCTTCCCTTATGTCTGGGGCAGTGATGCTCTGTATTCTTGGTGCTTGGGGGGCAAGAGTGGGAGGACTTCTGGAGTTCTGGTCCCGCTGGTGGACCTCCTGATGGCCACTGGGGTTTTGGCTACTGTTTGACACAGAGTGTTGGACTGTATGGGCCACTGGCCTGATCCAACATGACTTCTCTTATGTCCTTATGTCCGGGGCAGTGATGCTCTGTCTTCTTGGTGCTTGGGGGGCAACAGTGGGAAGACATCTGGACTTCTGGCTTCGCTGGTGGACCTCCTGATGGCCCCTGGTATTTTTGGCCACTGTGACGCAGAGTGTTGGACTGGATGGGCCAGTGGCCTGATCCGACTTGGCTTCTCTTATGTTCTTAAGCTTGCCTAGGGAACAAGAAACTACAGTAGGCCATGCTTTAGACTGAAAGCTAGGGTTGCCAACTTCAGGTTGGGAAATCCCCAGAAATTTGGAGATGGAGCCTGGGGAGGGTGGGATTTGGGGAGCGGAGGGACCTCAGTGTGGTACAGTGCCATAGAGTCACCTCCCAGAGCTGCCGTTTTCTCCACGGGGGTGGATTTTTTCAGTCTGGAGATCTGTCGTAATTCTGGGAGGTCTCCAGGCCCCGCCTGGAGGTTGGCAAACCCCACAGGGCCGGTTTTACTTAGGCAAATGGGGGCCATGTTTAATCTTGGGCTTTGTTTGTTGCAACCTGCAAGGTTTACAGCGAACAATACGAGGACCAGATGGGCACCGTGGGATATTTCCCCAGGAGTTTAGTCACGGAGCGGCACGTCTTCCGGAAAGCGAACAGGACAATCCCCACAAAGGTAGGAGACGCGTTGTGGTCCTGCCGGCTACCAGTATCTTTTGAGCAACTGGGTGGGGGCTGGTGTCTGGTCAAAGCCTCTCGTCCTGTAGTCGTAGCAGTGGGTGGACTTATGTGCTCATTTGAAATGAAGAGGTCTACCCAGCTAACCAAGGGACGCGCTTGCTTCACTTGATAGATTCCGACGGTCAGCCGTGTTGGGCTGAAGCAATAGAACAAAGTGTGAGTCCAGCGGGGGCACCTTTAAGACCAGCAAAGTTTCATTCTGGAGATAAGCTTTCGGGTGCGTGCACACTTCTTCAGATACATCGAAACAGACTTCCTCATTTATTTATTTATCCTTCAATTTGTATACCGCTCACCCCCTAAGGGCTCTGAGCGGTT